CCGCCCTCTTGCAGCCGATGCTGCAAGTGGTCTCAGCCCTGAAGCCTTGAGAGCAGGTGGATTCCACCCGCAGCCCGATGGGAAAGACGTTCTTTATGCCCGAGCGCCCCCTAGTGGTCCCTGGGAAACAAGGGCGCGCCAGTACGGAGTTGGCATGTTTGAGGTGGCATCCTGAAAATTCTTAGTAGTGTTTTATAGTGGGTGGCCTGTCTAGAGCAGATCCTGCTTTAAAGCTTCCCTGAAGATGCAGCGACTCCTTCCCAACAAGCACCACTCCGGCAGCCCAGCCCAGGGTAATTTCTGAGCAAAATCGGAGACCAGGTGTGGGCATCTCCTTAGTGCCTGCCCGAGTTAAGGGGTTTCTGTTTACGACTCAGAATGTCTTTTTTTCTGGGGACTCGCTGTGAGAGGGAGCAGGGACTTGTTCAGCCCAGGCCAGAAGGCTGTATGTGATCATTTGTTGTCGTCTTAACACAGCCAGGTTTTGGGTAGTGGAGAGTGGAGCGGAGTGTCCTGTCCCTGGGTGTTGGGGCCACGCAGTCCTGGCATCGGGGCATCCTGGCTGTGTGACCTTGACTGCCACCTCCTGTGGCCAGGTTTAAGTGGGGGAACTTCTGTAAGGCACCGGAAGCATCCGTGGGCACATACACGTAAGATAAGTGGCTGCTGTTATAATTGTTACAGCTCAGTAATCAGCTTTAGTGAGGTCCTGGTTGGGATGCCAGAAGCACGTCTCTCTCTCTCTTCCCTTCCTTGGGGATAAGCGGGGCTGTCTGTGTCCCACCTCAGCCGAAGGAGGGCATATCCACGTCCCCCACCAGGATGGTCCATGTGTTTGTAGAGGAGGCTGACGGAAGGCTCCGTAGAGGCTCTGGGGAGGCCCTAACGTGGTCCCTGACTACAAGACCTACCCCTTTTTATTCCTGCTGGCGGTGGAAGCATCTGTTGAGTGAGCGCATTTTGTCTGAAGAGGCCCCGGGTGAGTGAGCACCTGAGCCAGGGAGCCCGGGTGGAGGAGGGATTCCTGGCAGTCTCCTCACACTCGTTTGTGAGACGTCGTTCATACTTCAGCATAGCCCCGTCCCAAACGAACGGGACGTGAGTGAGTATTAGCAATTAGGCAAGTTCCTCTTGGTCCTTAATCAGACCTTTAATTTCCAGAGTGCCCCAGACGCCCCCCAGTGGCGAGATGGTGGAGTGAGTGTGGGCTTTCTGGAAGGTTCCACTCCCAGGTACTTTTTACTGCTCACAGACTTGCTTTCTGTGAAGCCTGCTTGTTTGTTGTGCTTTTGCACAGGTTTTGTGGGATGCCGGAGATACAAGGTGGGTCAGGTTATAGATGAGGGACTCTGAGCTTCTCTCCCTCGTGTTTGGGGTTGGCCTGGAGGTAGGAGGTTCTGGAATGGGAAAGATGAACAATTATGTTCATTCTTTAAGGACGCCTGGCATGTGGCGCCGCCTCATCCACAGGCGGGAGGAGGGGCTCTGTGGGAATACGTGTCCACTCGTGGAGCCAGGGAGCCCGTGTGAAGGTCCCGTCAGGGCACAAGACATTTCCGAATGAGGCGGCTGTGTAATGTTTGACGAGCAGGTTCTATTTTAAATGCCTGCAGATTAAATTTATTTGAGAGAAAGGCACGAGCCCTGAAAGGATACAGAGTTAGGATGGAACGAAAAACAAGGCTTGTGTCGCCCTGACTGAAACGAGGTGCAGATACGACACGGCCACACCTGTGACGTGTCGCTGTACCTGGGAAGATGAGACGGGACGGAAGCGGGGTGGGCATCCCACTGAGGAAAGGGGGCCGTGGAAGTGTCCGGGACTCCAGGTGGCGATAAATCATCAGCCGGATTGACAGATTTCAAGCTTTTTTCCCTCCTGTTTCCTTAAAAGATGTTTACACCTTTAAAAAAAAATACATCTTTTTCTTAAGTGTTGTGAAATTTAAGCCAAATTTGTTAACCTGTAAGGCAAGACAGGGCAAGATAGATGTTCTTTGAACAAATCCCTGTAACAGACCTTGCCAGGGAATGTTCCGGAATATCTCTCGAGATGGCGCAGGTCTTTGTCCGCAAAAGAGGTATGAATCGGAGTCAGTCTTGATTTCTCTGAGGGAAACTGTCAGGTCAGGCCTGTTCCATAGGGCTGAAGGTAAGATAGGAAGCAAAGTAAGAAAAAAGAGAAAGAGAGGGGAAAAATGAATAAATTCTTCCCTTAAGATGCCCCTTTTTTATGCACTTCCTGCCCCCAAGTAAACAAAACATATAAGGTTGTGGCTGCCTCGTAGGTCTTCTCTTGTGCTGCACCTCCTCTGGGTAGTAGGGAAAATCCCACCAGTGGATTTTTGTTTAAAGAGCAGCTGGGCGTTTCCTGTAGCTCGGGAGCCTTTATGCCGCTGAGAAAGCTTCACAGCAGGAAAAGTCCCCGAAAAGTGCCTGCTGTCTCACACCTAGCTCCGTAGCCTTAACATCTTGGCCTTCCTGCGTTGGTGTGTGCCAGGCACGAGGCTGGCACTTAGCAACTCCCTGGGAACTCATGATAGGACGCATCTGGGACACTGAGCTAATAAGGGCTGAGTATTCCTTTTTTCGGGGACCGGTGGCAGGTGCCTGACACGTCTGCTTTGCCGCTCAGATGTCCCCATCTGTACATAGATCCTGTAGGAAGTGGGTCTGCCCAGGAGCGGCTTTGTTGGAACTAACACCCCCCGACTGCCCCACCTCCCTTCCCACTCCTGCCTCAGTCTCCCTTAAACACACCAGGCGCTCTCCCCCGCAGGTAGTGGCTGGTTGGCCCTGCCGCCTTCCTGTAGATGGGGCTGCCCTGAAAATCACACTGAGCACACGGACCTTCGACCTCCTTCCCTGCCTGACGTGGCTCTGGTGGCCACACTGTATGGTTCAAGGTTGCTCCCCATCTGCGCCCCGTTCTCTGCCTCCCTCCCCAGCTGACCCCTCTCTCCCCGGCCCACCTCTCCCTCCCTGGCTGACCTGGTAGCCCCTCCGTGAAGCACAGATTTTTGTGTGTTCACTGGGGTAGCCCTGTGCCTGGAACAGGACCAGACACCTAAGGGTGGCTCTGTGGACACGCACCGAACGGGTGAATGGCTGCACCTGTAGGAATTCTGCTCATAGAACGCATTTCGCAGGATGCTTCTTGCACCGAAAGTCACCTGCAAATACCGAGCGTGGGGTGTCTTTTTCCCTTTTATTTTCCCCCGGAGCCACATTTAACTCTCACGCCTTCCTTCTGGTCTTCCTAGGCGTCCTTTTGTCCCAAATTTCAGAAGCAGGATCCTCTGAAACGGATTTTTACAAAGGATGACTCTAATAAAATGTTTGAGATTATTACTTGGAGGGTAAGCTAGGTTTTAAAAACCCCAGGTCCTTAAGTTGCGGGAAGCACCCGAGCTACTCGTGGTCACTTTGTCTTTGCTCGTCTGTTCCAGATGCCATAAGTTCCACGAACCCGCGGGTCATCGACGACGCTAGGGCGCGGAAGCTGTCCAGCGACCTGAAGAGGTGCACGTACTACGAGACGTGCGCCACGTACGGGCTGAACGTGGAGCGCGTCTTCCAGGACGGTAAGCGCCCCCCGCGGCCGTCGCAGCACCGACTCCCCGGTGGGCGGGGCCCGTCCACGTGACCGCTGGCCCCGCTCCCGTCCAGAGGGGGCTTTCGGCTGCCTGTGCGCATGTTCAAAAGCCGCAGGCCGCCGCCCCCCCCCCCCC